CAATGTGATACGAATAAAGGTAACATGGTAATAGCCTTGTTCTCAAAGTGAAAGAATTCAGCCAGCCTTCCCCTTCCCTTTCTTTCTGCTTTCCAGAAAAAGAACATATGGCTGAACCTGGAACAGCCACCTTGGATCCAGATATGGAAGTCATGCGCTGAAGACAGCAAGAAGCCTGCATCTCTGATGACTGCAGAGCAGCCAGACCAACCCTAACCTTTCAGGAAACCTACGCCTTGTTGATGCTGCTATTCCTCTCTGTCTCTGCCCAGCATCAGAACACCATGTCCTACCAAATAAAGAAGCGTGGCCAGTAACGCTGCAGGCCAGCTCCAGAACTCCAGCGCCTTCCCAATTGTTCAGATTCAGCAAGTCCATAAATATGTATCAAGCAGCTACCACGTGTCTAAGGTCTCCTAAGAGTATCTTTTGCACCTCCTGGAAGACGTGCCCCGTATCCTTTTTGAAAACCAGTATATTGGTATGGAATGCAAAAAGGCATATTCAGCAAAAGTGAAATGAGAAGAAGTGAGAAATATTTAAATAAGATCATGAAGGAGGCAGAGAAATGTTCAGAGCATCTTGCAAATAATCTAAGTGGAAGGGAGACCACAAAGCATTCTCCAAGTGGGTGAGGGAGTGGGTCAAAGGCCCGGGGTACAAGTCACTAGTGTCCCTTTCCCCGGGAGAGAAGATGACATAACCAAACCATGAGGGGTGGGCCCACTGCTCCCTGGGAGCTCCCAGGCCTGGGGTGGGGGCGGGGGGCTGGCTGAAGCACTGATCAGGATGAGATCTGGCCCAGCGGGAGGACAAGGGGAGGGGGTCTTCCAGACTCAAGAGATGCTCCCAAGGGTCCCTTCGGCACCGACATCCTGCTCTGATGTGAAGGAGCTGAGGTGGGAAGGACTGGGAAGAAAAACTGAGTTCAAAGAGGCAGGTGTCATGCAGTGCTGAGGTGGGAGACCAAAAGCTCAGTGTTTGGGGGGCTGTCTGGAGTGGGAGTGTAGTGTCTAGACTCCCTGCCATTGTCAGAGAGAAAGAAAATAAGTGGGGCTTAATTATTATGACAGGATGACAGCCGTGACATTATGAAGAGAGAATCAGAAAAGTGTGAAGCTTATTTTAAAAAGTGAAAATGTCTCTTCACCATGAAATTCTCCCTGGAGAGCTCCCCAAGACAGGGTCGTGTCCCTGACCTGAGATCGAGACCTCCCAGACACAGGAGCTCTTCCCCCTGACAGTCCCTCCTTCCCTGAGGATCCCTCAGAGGCCGGGGAGGCTGGGCCCGCAGCAAGGGCTCCATCTCTGGGCCTGAGTCACTGGCTGGTGCGGGGCAGGGCCTGTCTCTGTCCTTCCCACAGACCCCACCACCATCAGACTGCAGACGTCCTGAGAGCGCCACCCACAGTGGTAGTCTCCAAATCTGTAGCACATAGTAGGGGTGTGTTGGGGAAGCACTTAGTATGTGCCTGTTAAAAAGGGGGACAGCCTCTCCCCGGTGTCACGCAAAGGGAAAGAGCTGCTTGTGCTTCATTCAGCATCAGCAACATGCAGGAAATGTGCAAGAAGATGTAAGGCGTCCACTCACAGGGGACTCCGGAGACCACTGGAGACCCCATGAGGGCAGGGAGATCAAGCAGGGGCTGGCTTGCCCCTAGCCCAGGACAAGACCCCAGAATGGAAGTTAGACATAAAACCAGGCATTCGGAGACACTGTAAATCAACAATACCCACAGCTTATCACAAAAACTCATTTTACCCAATACTTTCCACCTCAGAAAGATAGGAAAAAATGAAAATACTTAGTTTTCCTGCTTCCTCGCACCCTCTGGGGAATTAGCCGAGTTATAATGAGATATTCAGTGCCGGAGAGCAGAGATGAGAAGCAACAGAAGACTTCTGGATAACCTACATTATGGCTAATACACTGCAACAGCATAGCCAAAAAATAATATCACCAACACATGTGAAATTCAATGCAAAGAGGGAAAACATCACAAAATGCAACCCGTACTTCAAAAGCAAACTGGCCTGTGTCTGTCCAAGCCCCTTAGGGCCTGACTGCCAGGGTGACGGGGAGAGAGAGGCTCTGGCACCGTGACATACCGCAGGATTGGTCAGTGCTCCCTGTCGCCGGAGGTGCCGATGCTGGGGCCAGTCCAACCCTGTGAGCCATGCGGTAAGGACACAGGTGTGCACATGTCCACACAAGGGCAGGGCAAGATAAAAGAGGACCCCACAAATCTAGTAAGACATCAGCACTTATCCCAAACAAGGGCTGTTCGGAACGAATGTGAGTTTACCAGGATGATTGCTACCACGTTGCGCAGAGTGCAATGACTTCGTTGTTAGTACAAGAATTTGTCAGACGTGTCACGCAGAAAGTGGAACAGCTATAACTGTGACAGGTTGCTGAAAAATAGCTGGTTTCTGGAACACCTGGTCCCCCAAGTCTGTACCATAATCTTGTTCTTAAATGAACACAGCAATAAACAAGAACACGAAAAGTTTCCAGTGCAGGGCTGCTGGCTTGTTAACGTTTATGGAGAGAATTTTCCAGGTGCTGGTATGTCAGCTGGAGAAGCTGGTCTCAGAGCACATGAGCACAGGGGGTCCACAGAGGAGCCAGCCTCCTAACTCAGGGAGGCCTGAGGCTGACCCCTGTCTCTCCTGCTTACCAGCCTCACATTCCTGGGAAAGTGAGTCAGCGTCTTGGAGCTTCCATTCCTCGTAACGTGGGGAAAATAACCTCTCGGGTATGGAAGTCTTGTGGGCAGCAGAAATCGTGTGTAGAGCGCTTGGCACAGCGACTAACAAATAACTGTTCAGGAAGTGGTGTCGCTGTTACGCAGACTTGCCTTCTAAACATCAGACTTGGCTGCAGAGGCGGCTACCTGGTATTACCCTTTATTTAAAGGAATGGAAACAATGCCCAGCTCTGAGAGAGCGGGGAGAGAAAAGAAGTGGAAATAATTCTTTGAGGTTTTCCTTGGAGCCCATACCCAGGGAATTATGCTCTCTGTGGAAGAACGGTTTTGGAAAAACACACTGCCTATCTTTATTATAGGCCCACCAGAACTACTTTCTTTTCTCTTTCACGCCAGGTAAAAAGTTTCAAGGAGCTCTCGTATTTGAAAACCCTTGGGGAGCCCATGAAATGGGGCCCATTTTCTAACCGACTCTTAACAAATTTTCTGTAATGGATATTATGAGATATTTCAACTGGCAGAGTGTCTCATCTCTCCTTTTAAGGGACAGAAATTGTGGGCTGAACACACTGCGTCTGGTTGTTTAGCGGATGCCCCCAGACTCGCATAAGTGCTACAAGCGTTGCCTAGAAAACTGGTACTTTTGAGGCTGAAATAGTCCTAGAAGAGCAAAGATCTTAAGTCCTTTTACACGACAGGAGAAAGCACCTCAAGTTCTAATTAAGCTAAAACGATTAGCTACCCACAGACACTTAACACTCTCTCCCATGGTCAGGCAATCATCTCTATTAAAACCCATTTTAAAGTAAGAAGTAAACCCAAAACCTCCATCAGTACACACTTCCCGTGAACCAATGACCCCTTGGACACACTGAGTAAATACTCAGAGGCGAGCTCTGTGCCTTGACCGGGGACTTTTGCGATAGGACTGCATCAGGCACGATGACGTGCTTGCCAAAAAGGAGGAAGCTGGCTGCAAATGTGACTGTTAGGGGTGAAGTCCAACCGTACAAGAGGGCGCCGAATCTCTCCTGGGTTGGACAAAGCAGGACAAACTGAAGCCTCAGGTTTCCCTGGTCTTAGAATTCCCTGACTGATTTAACAAGAAATGCATCAACTCCACTCTGAGGACTACACCAAACAAAAGGGTTTCTGCCTGCTGGACCCAGAATCCAGCTTCATCACGTGAGACCAAACTACTATCCAAATTGATGCTTCATGGGAGGACTGTCCTCTCCCATGTTACAATTTGTCACTGATATGCACTTGGCACACTTGGCAGGTTCACCGTGAGTCCAATCCACTCAAGTTCATGTGCTTTCCCCAGCCCTGTTGGGCCCACTCCTCCCCTGTGGGTCCCTTTAGGGAAGGTAGCCCATTGTTTTCAGCCTAAGGCTATAGTCAGTAACAAACAGCTCCTCCATGGTCAGTGGGTAAGTTATTGAGATTTTAGTACCTTCCTCAAGAACTAGGGTAGTTTTTGTTTTTCAGTCCAGTCAAGTTAATCCGATAACCTATTACTTCTCAACTGAACAAAAGCCTTTTTTTTTTTTTTTGCGTTGTTTTGTGTTTAGATGTCTTTGGACTTGGAACATTCCTTAGCCATCAAGCAGACATCAACAATGTTGACCTGGATCAGCACTGTGTGACAGAAATAAAATGCAAAATTCTCCGAGGAGCCACATTACAAGGGCAAAAAGAAATATGAAATCGATTGTAATAGAATATTTTATTTAACCCACTATATCAAAAATACTATTGCTTAATGCATAATCAATATGAAAGTTAATTAATGAGATATTTCACATCCTCTTTTTCTACTTTCTCTTTTTGGTGCCATGCTGAATGGTGCAGATCCAGAACTAAGCTTAAATTGACCTGGAAAGTCTTCCTTGACTCCCTGTTCTATGGACAAGCAGTTTACCAAACAGAATGTGTAGCATACGTATTTAACTTTATAAAAATCTATCTCTATGTGTTCAGACATGGATAGAAAATGATCTTTAAAGGAGAGACCAAAAGGTGATGATAGTTACCCCTGACAGGGAGGCAGATCGCCTTTCTCTGCTATTTTGTGCTTTTTTTAGTATTTTCTAAGTGTCTTTGCAGTAAACATGTACTTTTTTAATTATCAGGAAAACTGTAAAGCTGGTCTTTAAAAAAATGTCTCCCACATTTTCAGGTTTTACACCCCTGATCCTGCAGGCACAGTAGCCACTGCCCTATCTCCATCTCTGAGAGAACGGAGGACCAAGTACTATGCCTCCCGCCCCAGCCCCCGGTACTTACAGCCAATCATCATGATTGCCACTGCAAAGATCTTCTCGATGTCTGTGGATGGGGCGATGTTTCCAAAGCCCACGCTGGTGAGGCTGGTCATGGTGAAATACAACGAGGAGATGTAGACAGAATTCTTGCTGGGACCACCTTCCCACTTCCCTGAGCCAGACCCATTAAACTGGTAAGGGGTGCCAATGTCCATCGCCAGCTGGTAGAGCCAGCTGTTGTTGCGGATGGTCTTGGTGTCCTCATCGAAGATCTCATAGTCCCCAATGCTGTACCAAATGCAGGCCATCCAGTGAGCAGCCAGCCCGAACACACACACCAGCAGGACCAGCACAGCAGCTCCGTATTCAATGTAGTGGTCCAGTTTACGGGCCACTCGCCCCAGACGGAGCAGCCGGACGACTTTCAGGGAGCTGAACAGGCTGCTGATGCCCTGGGAGAAGAGGAGCACAGAGTCAGGGCCAGGAACAAACACACCACTCCCTCACGTCCCCTTCTCCCCTCCCCACCAGGCTGTTCCCTTCAGCACAGTGAATTTCCGCGAGATGCGGTATTGCGCAACCCTTAAACATTGTTCTAACGTAAGACATGATATGGAAAAATGCTCATAGGTATTTGTGCACTTATTCACAGCAAAATTAGAATTTTACTCCAAGGTGTATGGGTGGGAGAATTTCATTAACTTTTTGCCTACTTCCATTACAAAGGGGAAAAAAAGGAAAAAAGACAAATAAAATGAGAATTTAAATCTAATTATATTATGCAGAACTACACAAATATATGAGCATTTTTCCATGTCGTGAGTTATTTTAAAACAATTTTAAGGATTGTGTAATATTTCATATTAAGTAATGTGAAATATTTAAGGGTTGCATTGCATTTATTTCATACGGTATAATCTTTCATTCCAATTATATTGTGCACAAGTATACAAATAATTATATGTTGAAAAATGGTCAGAAAGACACACAAAAAGACATAAAACACTACTGATGGTTATGACTTCATTGTCAAGATAGGGAATTACAGGAAATGTTTTGTTATATTTGTATATATTTTTGTTATACTTATATATATTTACTTGATTTTTATGACTGAAATTATTACTTTTATAATTAGAAAAATACATTTAAAAACAGTTTTTTAAGATAAAAATTAATTCAAGAAGTAGCTAAGAAAAACTGAGATCCTGTTTTCTCAGAAAAATGACAAGTTCTTGGAATGCAACATCCCTCCCATGCCACTGGTCCCTAGAAGACTCTGTGGAACACCCTCTTCCCTCCAGTGAGCTTGAATCATATTGAAATGTGGACAAAAGAAGAAACCTCTGGAATCAGCCACTGAAACTCTGGGGATATTTGTTACAGCAGCTGTGTCACTGGCCTTCCCTGACCTGTGAGCACACAAACCATATGTAGTGCAGCCTTGTCAAGAAGGAACAGAGGAGTCTACCCAAATTGTTTGTGTTAGGATGAGGGTGGGGGAGTTTCATAGCCACAATACATACAACAGAAAAAAATCATTTGTTTTCCAACATATACCAGCAAATGGATAATAATGGGTTTTTCTAAGCCAAGGGTCAATTCATCCAAACTGACAACCTTGACAAAACTGACCTTCGGCATGTCTAGTACTCCTCCCAGGGTCCCCTTTTCCCTCCGTGTGCTTTCCTCCAAAACCTGCCATGCAGGAAAGACGGACAAAATCCCTCACATTAAGATGCAAAAGACTGATGACGATAAATGGAAACCTCTCTCTACAGGGCATTTGCATTTTAACAGAGGAAAACTAACTTCCAATAATGGAATTTAAAAAGCACCAACAGCCTGGGTGAAGCAGATATTTTGGGAGGCAAAGGGGCCTTTTTGATGACTCAGGCATCAAACACTTGTAAGCTGCCACCTACCCTCCACCTCCTCATAAGGAGGTTCCTGAAGCCATCTTTCAAAGCGGCTCCACTCTGAAGCAGAGCTTCCTACCCAAGCCCAAACTGCCTTGTCATTTTCCCTCACTCAGACTCGGTTCAAAGCACCATGCCCCAAGAACCTGCTATGTCCTCCCGTGCTGACGCTACAGGGAAGAGAGAGAATAGAATGATGCTGTGTTTGTCTTCTCGCTCACTGTTGTATCTCCAGTGCTTGGCCCATGGGAGATGCTTGATAGAAAGAAAAGAGGGAGGAAGCAAAAGCATAATAACCAGTGAAAGAGGCATGATATGATTAGCGAAAAGATATTTCTACTAAGAGTCACAGAACTTGAGAGCTGATGGGGGCATCGAAGTCCAGCTCCCCTGAGTCCAGCAAGATCTCCTCGAGTGCCCCTGAAGAATAGTCATTCCAGCTCTCCTTAACTACTACTTGAAGACCCCATTCTGTGGCAGTCACTAATGGAGCCGAACAATTGGGCCCCCATCACCTTTCTTACTGCTCACCTGTACTTCAACCCTTCTGCATTCTCCCTCCCTTCCCAATGGCCACAACAACACATGGCGACTACTCCCCAAAGGCCATGCTAACCCCTGGCCATACACACCAGTTGTCTCAAGCATCCCACACAGTAGATGCACACTTGTATCTCTTTGCCTGCTCAGACTGGCCCCTCAGTCCAGAATGTTTGAGCTGAACGCTTGGGCTTCCCTGTTTCCAACTGGTAGCTAGTCTTTCAGTCCTGCTTCTATGATACTAGCAGTATTTCAGGTCTGCCACGAAAGCCCTCCATGACTCCCCTGTAGTCCCAACCAATCACTCACTCCTCCAAATGTCTGTGGTAATCTATACCTATTACCACTTAAACACATTGCTTTGCTTTGTAGTTTTCTAACCACGTCTTCCTGAAGACTGGACTCACTTGGTATTCATGTTAGAAGCCTCCTGTATTGGGTTGAATAGTGTCCCACCAAATTCATGTCCTTTCCAGAACCTCAGAATGTGACCTCATTTGTAAATAGGGTCATTGAAGGTGCAGTTAGTTAAGATGGGGTCATACACTGGGCCCTTAATACAGTATGACGGTATTTTTATAAGAAGAGAAGAAGTAGACACAGAGAGAGAGAGAGAGCCCCATGTGCTCACCAGGGATGTGATTTAAGCCAAGGAATGAGAAGGATTACTGGCAACACCAGGAGCTGAGAAGGCGGCATGGAACAGGGTCTCTCCTAGAGCCTTCGGAGAGAGCATGGCCTTATGGACACCTTGCTTTCAGAGCACAGAGCCTCCAGAACTGCGACAGAGTAAGTTTCTGTTGTACGAAGCCACCCACTTTGTGCTAATACGTCATGGCGCCCTAGGGAACTAATATACCCACACAGGGTCTGAAGCCAGCACCTTCTCAGAAAGGGTCTCAAACATTTCCTAAACTGAATTAAGGAGTTTGGATTATTAGGAATTTTTTTCTCACTTTAAGGAGGCTTTGGAGCAATATAAGACACACACTTCCTCACTGTGTTATTTATCTGTGTTCACACTGATATTCTATTACACAGTCTTGTGTAAGTTCTCTCTTATTGCACCAGCCACTGGATTTCCAGCTGTTTAAAAGCATCTCAAGCTATTGATTTTTTTCTTATTTGCCTGAAGTTCAGTATATGCAATAAATAAAACAGAATACTCTAAAGGTTTTTTTTTAATTTTAGTATAAAAAAGGCAATAGCACCATATGGTGGCACATCACATTTCCCCAGAGACTTCTTGTATCAGAAAACCTATCTCGAGTTCCAACTGGTTCCAGAGAGTTCTTTATGACAACCTTAAAGTTATGAAGAACTAAGAATTTCCAGCTGAGTCAACATGGATGAAGGGATGGCAAGAACCTGTGCGGGTCAGCCCACCACTGACGGCCAACACCTCTGCCTGGAAGGAAGCCTTCTGAAGTCTAAGTAACCTCAGTTCTGGTGGTATTGATGCAATTCCAATCGAAATGGGCATTCGATAATGATCAGAATCATTTCTGTGCGAATATTGAGTTTTACCTATTCACCCAGACTAAATAAATCATTCCATTAGCTTAGACTGTATCTTGCCTGCTCAGCTAGCCAGATTCAACAATTTTCTGCTCAATTTTTTTTTCTGCCATAGGTGTGGAAATGACACTGTCACAGACTGGTGACGATGTGTTATTAAAAAGAACTCCTCAGTCTCTCAGGCCCTTGAATACTTCCCCCAGGCTTCCAGGCTTGTGTGGAGACATGACAGGGTCCATAGCAAATGCTGCAGGTCAACGTTTTGATTGCTTTCCACCTCACGTGACTCACGATTGCTCCTCTCTGCATCCTCCCCGCTCCTTCCCGCACTTCCCTCTGAGACTTACTCACATGGAGAAGTTGTGCCCAGAGGAAGTCCAGCGGTCTGTTATAAGAATTCACTATTTTGTTAACAGAGCTTGGTTTGCTAGTTGTCTTTAAAACAGAGGTGACTTCAAGAACAAATGCTTCATCAACTGCATAATGGAATAAACTGGCAACCCAGATCTTACTGGAAGTTACTCACTGAAGCTTAAGTATAATTGGCTGCCCTTCGATTGCTTCAAGACTTTACTGTAGGCCTTGTTTAATTCAATTCAGCAATCATTTCCTGAAAACCTAGTACAGGAGGACATAGCCGAGAACTATTGGTGATAGAAAAACAAGGAAAATGCAGTCTCCTGCCCTCACTTTACCTACAGTCAGGCCACAGAAAAAACATAGCCAGCAGGCGACTACGATGCAGTGGCGAACATAAGTGAGCTGCCACTATAAACACAGACTTAGCACAGGTGCTGTGGTGGTTGTGTGTATCGGGAATATTTTCCCAGTTCATTTAAATGCCCGTTGACCACATTCAGGGGGAGGATGTGGTCACAGAGTAGACGGGATCGCTTGCGACCTTCCGTTTGTTTAATCCAATGATGTATACAAAAGGCACATCTGCAGTTTCTGTAGAAAACTGTCATTGAAGGAAGTTTAGAAATATTGCTTAAAACCACCTGCTTTCTTTTTGTTTGCAGCTCCCACCATCACATAATCAACTGTTGTGATAATATACACATCAGGCTCTTTTGCTTTCTAGAGGCACTGAAAATCAAAACCGTACCACTGGCCAATTAAAAACCAAAGGACGCAGAAGAGAGAATCTGGTTTTATCAAGCCGTGTCTCTGTCTTTCTCAGAATCCTATCAGGTTTCCTTCTTCCAGGACAATGCAAGGAGCCCAAGCAGCCTAGCCAGAACTGAGTCTCAGCTTAAAGGGAGCGATAAAGTTGTCTTGTGCCTGCAGCTCTGATACCGATGCAGAATTAGCCATGCCCTTAACATGCTTTAGGCTAATTTCATTTAAATTCTCAGAGACAACAGCACATCGGGGTCTGGTGCAGGTGAAAACCCCAATGACTCTCGTGTCTGTACGAGCCTTCGGCACTGGGGCCTGACTAGAGCATTGGCCCACTTGTCACTGCCCAGCCA